CTGCTGCCTGAGGCTAACTGAGCTCCGTGCTTAAAGGGACCCTGCCCCTGCCCCAGACACACAGTTCTCAGGGTTCCCTGCTTGCTTGTCTACCTCGTTGAGGGACAGCAAAGCAGTCCTGTCTTGGAGTGCCCTGAGCGCCTACACTTGGGACACCACAGCACTTGGCCTCATGGAGCCAGAGCTGCCCCTGGGCATGCCAGTGTGTCTCATGGGGTCGATGCCATCAGCCCGGCTGCATTTGCTGCAGGCTGCCATCTGGGGGAAGGAGGGTCCATTGGGGGGGCTGTCAGAATCCAGGAGGTCCTGCGGGAGAACGTCCACCTCGAGGAGCCCTCAGAGCCACCCCAGTCCTCCCCACCGGGGACTCGTGCCCCATTCCTCCCTCACGTCCTTCCACTTACCCCTCCCTAACCCCCCTTCCTGATGTCAAACAAAAAACATGTATGTTCAAAAATAGAAACTGGGTTTATTGAACGAAACTGGGGGAGAGGGATGAACTTCTGGGGACACTGGGAAAAGGAGGTGGAAGAGGGGAAGAGAGAGGGTGGAAGAGGGGAGGGGGAAACCTGGGAGGAGGGAGCTGGAAGGGGGAAGCAAGGGAAAGAAGGGAGAGGAGAAGCTCAGGGCTGGGGGTCTCACCGGACCAACTTGATTTTCATTAAAACCTGCTCCTGGGTTTACATGTGGCCTTTGGTGGCCAGGCTGGCAGCCATCCACCTGTAGATGGTTGCATTCCTCCATTTAGTGAGGAGATCATGGACTTTAGAGGCATCCCCCCAAACCTGAATTAGGTCCCTGATCTCCGCACTGGACCAGGCAGGTGCCTGTCTTTTCCGGCCCCTGGCAGGCTCCTGGGAGCTGGCACACTGGTCCTTGGGAGCGGTGCAGGCACTGGCTGCCTGGCTTGTGCTGGGGCCACTGGGTCAAGTACAGCGACTGCTGGCTCTGGGCTGGCAGGCTTGTAGCTGGCACAGGCACTGTGGCCAGGGTCTACCCCTTTAATGGCTCCAGGGCTAGGGGAGAGGAGAGTAAGTTTTCCTGGTTGTTCCCAGAGTGGCTGCCAGGGCTCCCTGGGAAGGGCTGGAGGCCCCCTATTTTGAATGAAGTGTCTACATAGCACTTAATTCGAAATAGCTCTCTTACCAAATTCGAATTAAGCGCTTTGCTATTTCAAATTAATTTCGAAATAACGGCTGTTATTTCGAATTCACTTTGCAGTGTAGACGTACCTTGAGAGAATTCCACTGAGTAGGAGAGGAATGGTTTAAGTGTAGCAGAGCCACAGATACTTTGTGTTTCTTTGGGCATGTCAAAAAATTTCAAACAGAACACTTTCACATTGGTTTAGGGGAATGTCAAAATCAACATTTTCTATGGGCATAGATTGATTTTGGCCCAATGTTTACTTGGAAGAATCAAACTGTTTCATTTTGGATTGGCGTTAATCTCAGTATATGTCTGAGCTGCCACAGTGCTTCATGGGAGTTGTAGTTTCAGATCTTTCTTTTTCCTTGTTCTCCTCTACATTTCTCATGATGCACTGCAGTTTCTCCCTGTGGCTGAGCCACCTGGGACTCCCATGATGTTAATGATGTCAAAACAATTCAATAAAAACAAATCCAGAGTTTTCAAATCAAATTTTTGAAACTTTTTGTTCCAAGAAATATCAACATTTTTAATTTCAATTCAGAATGAAAACAAATGGACAAAAATATCAGAATTTCTTGTAGTACAGACATTCCATTTTTTAAAATCATCTCTAAAGTTTATTTTGTGTGATGGTAATGTAACAGACTATAAGAGGGAGAACACTATTTAAAATGCCTGCATGCATCTGCATTTTCCTGAGGAGGAAACTGAGGGCAGGATGATTGTTGTGCCATGCTTCAGGGTGGCCTGCAGCAGACTGCACCCTGAAACACATCCTTTGTCAAAACTGCCTACACTTCAAAAAAGCCTTGTGTTTAGCTCAAGAAATGGAGAAATGTTCAAGTAATTTCACATTTGAACTGCCTCATACCCAAATTGTATATTAACGTGTTATAGAATAGGAAATAAATCTTAACACCATGATATTTGTGCTTGTTTTTCTCTGACATTTATGTTACTTTGGTATTTTTATCCCCAGGAACTATTTGTAGGGCTGAAATTACATGAGAGCTAGATTTAGAGAGGTATTTTTATCATCCAGGAACTTAAATACTATAAAAAGACCAGCTCACGTATTATTCTGGGTTTGAATGGCACACTGGTTCATTAAGAAAGCAAATGAAAACAAAAAAATAGGATACATGCCCACACACGAACCCTTGCATGCTCCTATGTAAGCCATTATTTTGGTCAAACCAACTATGTGCCTTTAATTAAAATCCAAAGAAACTCAAAGCTATTCAGTTGCGAAGATTGGGGTGGCAGGAGAGAGATGGAGTGTAATGACCCCATTCAGGCCCTGCGTCAGTTGTGGAGAAGGAATGTTTTCACACTCAGTACAAGTGGTTAGGTAGCTTTAATGGCCCACCCTCTGGGACCCTCAGGCAGGTTCCCTGACTGCCGCAGCTCCTGGCCACTCAAAGTGGCTGCCTACTTCCTTCATATGCCTCTCTGTGTGGCACACCTGTAGGGCAGGAGACTTCATGCATTTCCCCACCCCCAGCACAATCTCTCAGCTCCCATTGGCTAGCTGCAGCCAATGGAAGCTGAGAGATTGTGCTGGGCACAAGGGCAGTGCACGAAACCTCCCCCTACCTCTTCTGCAGTGTGCAGAAAAAAGAGGCATATGAAAGGAGCAGCAGGGAGCCTGCCTGAGGGTGCCACTGGACTTCTGGCTGGGAACCAACTAGGTAAGTGCCTCCTGGCTAGAGGCTTCCTCTGCCACCCTACCACTTCCTGCATCCCACCTCCCTGCCCCTGGTCATCATCCATACCCTCTGCACTCTCCCCTCCCCAGGTCATACCCCCTTTCCAAACCTGTACCCCGATCCCTGTCCCAGGTCAAAATCTCTTTCTTCACTAAAACTCCCTCTCAGGCCCCACACACTCTTCTGCACCCCAGTCTCCAACCCCAAGCTCCTTTCTGTACCTAACCTCCATCCCAGACTCCACGCCCCCTTCACAGAAAAGTGTGGCCCTTCTCCAGTTACCAAAATCTTGGTGTGTCTCCCCCATCAAAAATTATTGCCCACCTCTCGTCTAACTGAAAAACAATATGTTGCTTCAGGTATGCAATATCTGTCTTTTTTTTTTTTATAGTGCAGGTGCCTGTGAATGATTTTTTTTAAAGCACTTTGTGGTTGCATTAATCTCTGGTTGATACAACTCACTTATCCTCTCAAACTTGACATTGCCTTAGAAAAAATTGCTGACCTTTTGATATTTTAAAATTACCAAACCCTACAGCACCTATCTGGGGAATTAACAAGCTTTAGAGGCACTCACTGTGTTTATAGCATCTGTCCACAAGCAAAAGGTTTGTATTCCTGGAAAGATCATATGCCGTCTACCAATGAAACCATGTGTGTACTATAATTTAGAACAATGTGAAACAATGGGATTTAAAATTGCATAATAAAGTAAAGAGATTGAATTTTTAATAAGTCCCGTCCCATATAAACTTGTCAATCTACAGTAAATTATCAATACCTGGAAAATAGTTACCTTCTATCAAACCTGCACTAAGTACCTATCCCCTTAGAGCAGGAGTTTTCAAAAATGCCCTGGTGTTGGCCTAACAGGCCTAAGTGGTTGGTTTGCCCACACCCAGGTCTAAGCCACCTGCGATTACAAAGCCTGAGTGGAATCAGGTGGACCCCAGAATAAGAGGAAGCAGGAAGCTGTGTGTAGTGAGGAGCTGAGAGAATGACTGAGACTTCAAGAAGCAAGAGAAAGCTCTCTAAATTGGGAGAGATTCTGCCCGAGAAGTGGGAAAGAAACTGAGGCTCAGGGAGGAGGGGGCTGCTGAAGCTGGGGTGAAGACTGAGCCAGTTTGTATTTTGTTCTGAAAGAGTTTGTGTTGGGCTGCTGGGAGAGGGACACTGAACTGGATTTGGGAGTCAGGGAGAGGGTGGGGTCATCCGTGTGCCCCAGACAGCTCCCAGGAGTCCCTTCTGGGGATTTTTTGAATTACTTCATGAACTTGGACTTCTTGAAGGGCCCTGAATAGATGGGTGTCATACAGTGACCTCTGTCCATGAAGGGATGCTTAAGAGGCAACAGGCAGCCATACCAGTGCAATATCAATGGCAGTTTCACTACTGACTTCTGAGGGAGAAGAATATGACCAGTGGGTAGCATTTGTGAAAATCCCACCAATCTCATGCAGAAACTAAACACTTTTACACAGACTGAGCCTTGCTAACCTGGAACATTTCGCTAGGAATTCTGGAGATATTTTTGCTTAGTTAGTCAAGGAAATGCAAAACCGGTGAAAATTATGGTGACTGCAAACCTCTGATTATTTTACAAGGTAAATACAAAGCATTCATCCAACATGTTTTTAAGTGATTTGGCAACTGAACAAGAAGCATTTCAAGGCACAGATTTTGGAAAAGATTATTCTCTCATGTTACTGAATTGATTTCAATGGTGTTACACTAGAGATGGATTTGGTTAGTCTATTACTATAAAGCACTATACACACTGATGGTATAATACATAAATAACACCGGCATCACCACCAGAAAAGAAGGGTGTATTCCTGAAAATGAAAAAACAGATTATAATGATGTTGTTTCCTGCCAGAAATTCCTTGCTGGGCTACATGGGAAGAGAAAGCTACAATTGTTGCACTGAAAAAATCTTCCATTTTAAAGGGCTCCACCATTTCCTTAAAATGGGAAAAACTGATAAAACTGATAATCTCATTGAAATGGAAGAAACTTTGAAGGTTCAATCACTGTATTGGAAGGAATGGTAGACTTGAATATATGTTAATAATAATGAGTTTGACTATTAAGTCTGACCTACCAAAGAAATACACCACTTTTGAGTAATTTACCAACCTGTTCATGAACTTGTGCCGGCGGTGCAGGTAATAGATTTTTCTCCTGGAAGAACAGCAAAAATGAAGCCAGTCGAGAAGAAAACCCATCGTCAGTTACAGTATGAACTAGCAAGGAAGGAAATTGAAGATAGAAGCCTGTAAGAGGTGGAGGAAGAGACTAAAAAGAGAGATTAACAGAACTGTCACTGGAGCCCAAAACAAATTCTGGCACTGTTTGAACTGCAAGAAAGTAATTGTTTTTGTCCTTTCTTCCCCCCCCCCCACACACACTTTTTGCTGTGTATAATGCATGGAGGGCCGGGATTCAGAAGCATTTTGGTTTCAAAAGATTCAGCAAATGAATGTCTGCTTTTTATGATGTAAATACAAGTGTGAATAAATTAATCTATGCTTTTAACATCAATAATTGAATCATTAAATATAGCATTGGATAAATTACATGTTCAAATAGGGGAATGTTAAAAAATCCAGGCAAGTGGAAAACGAAGTATGGCACTAAACTATACCATTACACGTGCGGTATTTATCAGGACAAATGATAGCTCTATGGGAAATAATCCCCCCAAATAGATGACCGTATAGTCTGCACAAACAAAATTTCTATGTACTTGGCACATGCCCCATGTGGAGTCCCTCCCCACACTTCTCATATCAGGCGTAGCTAGTTCCTACTGTAAATGGAATAAGCTTGTGAATGTGTGTATGGGCAGGGGTGGAGGAGAGATACATGCATAGGGGTGAGTGAGGAGTGCACAAGTATAAGCATGATGAACACACCCCCTCACTCCTCTGGCCGAACCCCATGTTGCCTCTTCATGGTGCCTGTCACAGAGGGCCTATAGAGAAACATCCTTATCAGATTGGGGGAAGCCAGAATGAAGTGTCCAGGTTCCATCCCTGCTGCTGGTAGCTGCTCTATCAGTATACTCCTGTGCACAGTGCCTATCAGAATTAGGCCCATTGCTGTCAACATCTTAAAACATTTAAAAAAAGTCAAGGGCAGTTCAAGCGTGGGTGTCTTAATCTTCCTTACTGCAAGATTTGGACGGCTTATTGAACTCCAGGCTCCTGCTTCTTGTGTTGACTTTGTCATCCACTGGAAGTCATTGATAACCCAAGACACTTTCTATATATTCTGAATTGTTCCATCATTTAATGCTAATCTATATCAATTCTGGAAAATGAAGGGTTCACACTGCTTAGCTCATTCTGCATCTTTGGACATATTTTAAAATACCATTGCAATACCCATTAGTGCCTTAGAAGCAATTATGTTTGGCAAGTTTTGAAAATAAAAGCTGTATTGCTGCTTTAAACTATAGGGCTACGTCTAGACTGGCATGATTTTTCACAAATGCTTTTAATGGAAAAGTTTTTCCGTTAAAAGCATTTGCGGAAAAGAGCGTCTAGTTTGGCACGGACGCTTTTCCGCAAAAGCCAATCTAATCGCTGTTTTGCGCAAGAAAGCCCCGATCGCCATTTTCACGATCGGGGCTTTTTTGTGCAAAACAATACCGCGTTGTCTACACTGGCCCTCTTGCGCAAAAGCATTTGTGCAAGAGGGCTTTTGCCCGAATGGGAGCAGCATAGCATTTCCGCAAGAACACTGACAATCTTACATGAGATCGTCAGTGTTCTTGCGGAAATTCAAACGGCCAGTGTTCTTGCGGAAATTCAGCTGCTTTTGCGGAAAATGTTGCCAGTCTAGACGCAGCCTAGAGGTTTAGTTATCAATTAGTTATCAATTTTGGTTACTTTCAGCGTTTAGAATTTAAATAATACAAGATATTTTGCAGATCATTAAAGCCTAAATTGTGGAGTAAATGTTCAGAAGCACTCTGTGTTGCCCTAATTCTATCCCTAGTGAAGTCTACGTTAATTCTCCCACTGCATTCAGTGGGAGCACAGTTAAGACAATGCTGAATGTTTTGGAAATGCTGACTAGTCTTGCCCAAAATTTTCAGAAGTGACTATTAATGTTGGATCCCCTGCTTGAGACAAAAGACCTCGTTTACAGAAATGCTGAGACCTAAGTTATGAAGAACACCATGTTCTCAGGGGCTCTGAAAATCATGGCACAGGTGTCTCAAAATAGGCACTCAAAATAAAAACCAAGTCAGCCAAATGTTTGCCTTTGTTTTTACAATATAACAATTATTGTTCAAATACTGAGCATAAAACTTTTAAGCAATAACTTTGTCTAATAAACATTTTTGAAGTAACATTGCAGTCACTTTGTGTTATGGATTACTGGCATGAGACCTTGGCAATGGCTGTACAAAGAATGAAGCCAAGAATGGGGAGCGTATCAAAGAACCACTAACTATCATTTTTCAACTTTAAACAGAATCTAAATATACGTTGCAACCCAAATCAGGAAGGCCGAGGTTCTTGACCCAACATTTTACTATTTGCTGGATTATTCTCCCACCTGACTCACATGAGCTATTATAGTTTAATGGGCCCAATTCATTTCTCTGTTATATGCCAATGACACCAATGGAATTACATTGGATGAAGTTGGCCCACTGTCTTAATATTTATAGGGCCCTTTAAAAAAGTGTACCTATCCCTTGTAGTCATTCGTGATACAATTTACATTGTTTTTCCTTTTTAATGTTAAAAACACACAGAAGGGAAAGTTAAACAAGGTGAAAGAATTCTGAAGTTTGTCTTAAAATGAAAATCCTCCTAAGTGTAGATTGAGCCTGAAAACCTGTCCTTAATTAATCTTATTTCCCTAATAACTAAGAATGTGACAATACAAGAAGATGTAGTGTACATAAAAGGCACATTTTTATTTCAAAATGGGGAAGAGACATCCACAGAAGTTCTGGGGAAGGGGCTTAATCTGGGATCAAACAAGATTTGCGATTCTAGGCTCTCTTCTCTTTCTTGTATCAGAGTAACTCCATTAATAATCTTAATGAAGTGAAAGGAAAAAAAAGAACCTCTGAAGTTTTGGGTTTAGTCCATTTAAGCCAAATGCTTCATGTTATTTTAACACAGTTTTTGTAACCAGTAGAATAAAACAGATTTTCTTAATGTCAAGATTGAAACCCATCATACCAATCATATTTGACAAGAGGGAAAAAATTGGTCTGAATGACCATTTGGAATTGGATTTGGCCATCAGTAGCACAGAATACAATTTCTATTCTTTCAAAGAGAAACTCTAGGTTTCAAAAGAAAATCTGTCTGAATTCCAGTCTTATAGAAGATTGAATACTTATATATAGTCTCTATTTCCCCAACTACACACTATACAGACAGACAATTTACAGGTGCCGAACATGCCAGATACGTCCAACAGACATACACCTTCTGTGCTGCCGTACGTACCTGGATCGTCTCGACTGCCCATTGATTTCAATGACATGTCCATTTAAAAAACAGCAGCGCACGAGTATGCAGGGGGCTCCAGCAGTGAAGGGGTTAAAGGGCCTAAGGACAGAATACCCCATGAAAATAGCTGCGCTGCTATAGGTCGCCTTAATTTCAAACTGCTATTGTACTAAAATTGCAGGCAAATTATCAAGAAATATCAATGAATATGGTATCTATGTCACTTATATTTTCTAAAGATGTGAGATATTTCATAGAATAGCTTTTCTTTGTGCATTTCAGTTTTACTCTCTCTCTTTACAGTAAAGCCTGAGCAGAAACGTAGCACAAAATGTAACTAAACCTACCTGAAAGGCATTCTTACATTCATTAGCTCTGCATATCTGCCCAGGACCTCCCATGGTGCATGCAACTTCACAAAGATGATGTCACCGTTTGTTAAAGATGACTGCAAGAGAAAAAAAGAGAAGAGACACCAGGCCCAGTGAGGTCTAAAGATCAAAGAACTTTTAACACTGGTCAATTACCATCCACCCAGAGATATGTCTCCAAATAGTAAAAATTTCCTCTTTCCAGAAATGCACATGGACACACACGTACATGCATATGTACGTACGTACATACATGTATGTACACACACACACACACACACACTTCATCGTTGACATTGCTCTGATGGTTTCCTTCCAATGGGCTGTCTTCCACCAGAAAAGTGTGGCAATTCTAGGGGATGGTGAGGAAGCAATGCAAAAAATACTCAGTGGAACCTCAGGTTAGCGTGCTCTGCTTCACATGCACTTCTAGCTCCTGCCAGAGTGAGAGAGATTGAGGCTGAGTCTTGGATTGGATCCTACCACTGATAGCATACAAGGGACCTGATTTCTCCTTTCCTCTACAAGATACAAAAACCTCCCAACCCAGAGACTCTTTTCCAGGTATGTTATACTGCAGCAGATATTACCATGTGTGCATGAAAGAAAAACAATACATAATGATGTGGTTTTATCAGCATAACCCTGGGCTATCTGCATTCTCCCACCTGGGGAAATTACAGTCTATTGGGGGTGAGAAAACATCCCTCCCACCCCTTGCAATCCCTTTTTCCTTTTCACCCCTCTATGGCATCTGAGGCTTTGTCCAGACTGCTGGCTTCTTTTGGAAGATCTCTTCCGAAGAAACTTCTGAAAGAGCGCACCCACACACAAAAGTGCATTGAAAAAGTGATTTGCTTTTTCGAAAGAGCACGTCCAGGCTGATTGGACGCTCTCTCACATAAAAGGCCACCCGGAACCACGTCAGCCAGGGCTTTAAGGTCACCAGTTGCTTTTGGGTGGGGCTTTAGGTCACCAGTTGCTTTTGAGAGCTGGTGCTAGAGCCTCGCAGAGTCAAGTGCTTACAGGGACCCCCCTGGACAGCCGTTTCTCTGCTTCTGCTGCGTGCTTGCCTACCTCTTCGAGGGACAGCAAAGCTCTCACAGTGCCTGCTGTGGTTGCCCCGCTTTTTTTGGATGCCACTGCTTTTCTCTTGGTGCCATGGAGCCGGAGCTGCCCCTGAGCATGTGATGGCCCCACTCAGACATCCTGCAGTTTCTGCAGCACTTTGTGCCGGCTGCCTTCCTGGTCTTGACCAAGCTTGACCCTGAGCTCATTCTTGGGACCTTCTCCCTGGGTGCGGGAGCTACACTCTGGCAACTACATCCCACGGTGGAGAGGCATTTCTGGAGGCTCAGCACCAGTTCGGATTGGTGGGACTGGCTGGTCATGGAGTGGTGGGATGACCAGCAGGGACTCCAAAACTTCCGCATACAGAAGGCCACCTTTTTGGAGCTGTGTGCCTGGCTCACCCCTGCCCTCCAGAGGAAAAGCAGGTCACAATCGCCATCTGGAAGCTCGCCACCCCAGACAGCTACCATTCAGTGGACAACCAGTTTGGCATGGGGAAATCCACCTTTGGGGCCCTCCTCATGGGGGTAAGGCACTCTCGGGCTGCAGTCCCTGCATGGGGGGGGGGGAGAGTCCTGGAAAAGGGGGACCTTCAGGAAAGGGGGGTTGGGAGATGGGATGGTGGAGAGGGGTAGAGGTAAGCCTCATCCCTGGGGGGTTCTGCAGTCCCACCCTCACACAGTCCTGCAGGAACTATAGAGTTGTGATTAATGTGGATGGAGGGTCCATCAGGGCACCTGTGTTATTTCCTGAAGACCTCTTCTTCCAAAAGAAAACCCTCTTCCCCATCCCCACATACCTTTTTCTGAAAGAGCTCTTTTGGAAAAAGGCTTCTTCCTTGTAGAAAGAGGAGTACCAATGCCAGAAAACCCCCTCTGTTCTTTCAGTTTACTTTCGAAAGAATGCGACTGCAGTATGGACGTAACTCAGGTTGTGTCAGAAAAACGGCCATTTTTCTGACAAAACTCTGTAATGTAGACATAGACTGGCAGTCCCTCTGACTCTCAGGATAACAGAATAATGTACAGTTGTGTATAGGGAAGAGTGAGGGGAGGAATTTAGCTCTGCTGATAGCCCAGTAGGAAAGTGAGGCTCTGGAAACATAAGAGAGGACATTGGAAACATAAGAGGTCTGTGGGACTCTGGGATTGCTGGGGCTCTGCCATTGGGAGGGCATAAAGCTGCCCCTGAATCAACAAGGTTAGTTGTTCACATACTTATTAAAAATCTGTGAAATTGCCACAGGATTACTTGTACTGTAATTTTTGATAGCTAACAGAGGGAGCTGATGTGGCTATCAAAACGCACCAATGCATATCTGCAAACATGACAGGAGTTAAAGGGGGCCTCTTCACTGCCCAGGATGAGGCCGATGATACGGGTGGATGGATATTCCTCAATTATCTGAATTTGATCTCCCAGATGTTAAACATTTCCTTTCACATGGGAGCCTCATAAATGTGGAAGTAGTCAAAATAAATAAAATGTTTCCTTTATCGGATGTGGTTTGTTTCACTAATACCCTGCAATGTGATTGCATCAGTTTTCTATCTGCAGAAAATCTAAACAAAACACATTTGAGAGGGTTTCAAGCTTCTTCTGGGGAAGATGATGAGTGGGAATTGATATAAAATTCATATTCTCACGGTGGTTATGAATAGTTAAAACTCATGACGGAAAATATTAGAAATTCTAAAAAAATGAAAGAAAGGTGGATGTAAAACAAGATTCAACTGGGAAGTAAATGAAATGAAGTTTTCTTTTTTGCTGAAGAGAGAAAATGGGTCCCAAAAATACAGAAAATATTCAGTGAACCATCTTAGTTACAACAATATTTCAATGGACAGCTTCTGTTAATCTTTTCTTCATTAGATTAGTAAAGAAATGCTGTACCTCTGCTACTAAGTGCTTTTTCTGTGCGTCATCTATTTCTTTCTTCTCTAGTATACTATTAGAGAGTAGGTGGAATATATACTTAGAACCATTTTTACACAGTTGCAGAGAAGCAACAAATAATGGTGAACTGCTGTCAATGTAGGTCTCCAATGTTTATGAAAACCCAAAGCATTTATTGATAATTTTCAGGAATAACCCACAGGTCACATCTTTCTGATGACTAAACCTATGAAGCCTTGTACCACAAATACATTTCTTCACACCAAACCTTCTCTGCAATCAAACCTTTCTTTCTGACTGGTCCGGCCAAGTTTACTGAGGATCTGTTTCCAAACCTGGGGTTCTTAACAGGATATCAAAGTCTTGCAACCTGTTGCAAAAACTGACATTTTGACATGTAGAATGGGCATTTACATATCTAAATATTGAAATGTGCATCCAAAATGCAGGATTAGTGTGTCATTCACTAAGGCCCACATTTGAAAGCTGAATTGAGCCACCTGTTGCCCAATTCAATACAGCATGTTAAGAAAGCGTACAGTAGAACATCCAGAAGCAAACCTCAGTCTTCCCGGCAAACCTAACCCTCACATGTACAACTATTGAGAAAGTTTTATAAAAAGTTTGGTGGCACTTTATAGACTAACAAAACATGTAGCTGGTCTCATGAGCTTTCACAAAAGCTCATGATACCAGCTACATGTTTTGTTAGTCTATAAAAATGCTACCAGACCATTTGTTGTTTTTTAAGTTTATGCTGTATGGACTAACTCTGCTACCCCCTGATGCTTCTATATAAAAAGGGAATTTCTAGACTACCATTGGGAGGAAGCAAAAACTCACCCCAGGCTTTCTGAGGTTTTGGCCATGTGGCCCTCGGAAAGAGATGTTTTACACCTACACCTGCATTTTTCGTAAATGTACTGGGCTGGATTCACTTTTACTGTTGCAAAGAGGTGGTAGTTGCACCACCTTGCCTCAGCAAGACCTTCTGCACCTCGGGGGTGGGGGGAGGCAGCCTCCAGGGCAGGGCCGCATTATGACTTTCGTTGGCCCTAGGCACTTTTGCCTTCGTGGGCCCCTTCCTCTATAATAATATCAATATCAAAAATTATTTTTGACATAACTTTAAATACTTCAACTTTTTTTTCCTGTTTTGGGCAACATTTAATAGATTTTCATGGCCATAAAAGTTTCATTTTTTCCTGATGTGAGAAAAAAATTAAAACATTTTCTTCGACCCTAAAAGTTCATTTTTTTTCTTCTGATTTTAAAAGAAATTAAAACATTTTCGTGGGCCCCTAAAAGTTTCGTGGGCCCTAGGCACTGTGCCTACTGTGCCTAATGGATAAGTTGGCTCTGCTCCAGGGGGAGAGTTGTGGTTTTCTCTGCCTTCTCCCTCAGGTTTCTGCTGCCTGGAAAGGGCAACTTTTGTTCCCACCAGGACATAATGTCTTGATTCAATGGACTTCCTGGCTGCACTGGTCTCTCAGCCCCAGGCAGTCCCACCCAGTTTTCAGGCCGTGCTGACTCTCCATGTGCTCCCTTTTAAAGGGGAAGAAAGTTGGCAGCTGCTTTTCACAGTGGCCTTTCTATCTCTAGGAGCTGTGTGCCTCAATCATTCCGGTGAAAGCCATGGTAAAGCAAGGTGAACTTAGCCCTTTCCCTTTATTACTGAAAGTAGATTATCTTTATTAGCGTGAAAATGTGAAGTGCTCAAATCACCCCAAACCCAAAATCAAGACTCTTGCAAGCTACTTCTTGCAAGAGCACATTACAACTAGAAACAAAATATTATTAACAAACAAACAAACAAGCAAACAAAAAACAAAAGAAAGAACATTCCCAGCTCTTTCAGCTGACAATTAGGACTTTCCTCATTAAAAAGTTTGCAGCTGGTAAAGTCAAATTTTCAAATTACGTGCTGACAAAAATTATGCAACAGTGCTCCTCTTCGATATAATGAATC